TTTTTGGTTTCTCACCTATTCTTTTTCTTAACGTTGATTAATTTTTCCAGCTGGCTGTTGTACTTGATAGCAAACAAGGAGCTACAGAAACATACGAAAACATTTTCCAAGACCAAATTTGGGACTTTGTATATTAAAGTGTCTTGCTAATTGTGGACTGCCACACTGCTACTTTGATATCCATGTCTACCCTCCGTCAATGACTTTTCCAGTCCCATTTGCTCAACTTATAAGTCACAACAAGATTTCATTTTTTATTGTGCCCATTGTTGCAGGCTGAGGCTAGTCTCTGAAAATAAAGCTGTGTTCATTCTACTTCATATTTCATCGCTGACCATAAAGATTCTGGAATTGCTCAGTAGTTTGTCATTCTAGGTGATGATGAATGAGGCATAAATGAATACCAGTCTCCTTTTTGCAGCTATATTGGTTCTGCAGTGCTGACAGTTGTACTGTTTTTTGTGGGGTCAGTGAACCAAGCAGATATGACTCAGGGATAAACTCGGGCACAAGCTTGCATGGCGGGGTGGAGGTAGGGGTAGGTGCAGTGTGTATCCACAATGGGAGTTTTGGTGAGGGTTATCCCTCAGAAAGCACGTTTCCCGCGCAGGTCAACAAGCTGCACCACCCCACAAGGCTGTTTCATGGGGAGGTGCTATGGCTACGAGTGAATCATCACCTTCCTTGCTCTTTGCAGAGCACAAGAACTGTGGTTGTCCCTTGTCTTTGTGCAAAGTATGTACAGAGGCAAAGGCACTTTTGCCCCCTTTCCACTCTAAGGCCATGCACCTATGCTAGGGCCAAGGATGGTCTATCCCATGCTTTTCTGTAAGAAAGTTCCATTTGAACAAAGTTACTCTTTGCAAATGTATGTATTGTTGCTGTAGGAAGGAGCAAGATACATACTGGCACTTCCAGAACACACATGGCATACATATTAATGCAGCATTGTTGCATACGATAATTTATGCAATATTCATTACACTTGAGACATGCACAAGATTGTTTAAAGACATAGGTGCTAAGAAAACCCGGCAGCAGATTACTGCCTCACAAAATCACTCTTCTGACCAGAGCAACATGTTAAGATATGAAAGGCAGTCATGGGTACAAGCATAATCTGCCAGTAATGACTGTAGCGTAGAGTGAGGTATTTGGAATGCTGGTGATGGTCTGTTTTCAGTGGACATGGGTTAAAAAGGTGGCTTGGTTTGGGTTTTAGAAAAAACAAACACAGAACTAGGGTTAGTTCAGATCTGGACTCCCCCTCCCCTATCCCCCCACCAACCAACCTTTAGAATCCAAGAAGAATCAGATAAAAGGTGTGGGTGTTGTCCCAACTCTGTACTGAGTGACCTTGGATGGTTTGGATTGTGGGTCAACCTGGTTAGTAGAGCTGATCATTTAGGATGCCATTTGTTTCACACACACATCGGATATTTGCATGTGCAACTAGCTAGTTAGGTGTCTCTGTAGCCATGTGTGTATGTAAATGCCCAATTTGCGGGAATTGTAGCAATTATTATTATTACATCTTTTTCATGCCAATGTTGATGCATTAGCACTATCATTTCATTACCTGCTTCTTCCATCTGCTCTGTGGTGTTGAGTTTGGCTGTTCCACCCTCCCTTCCAAAGGTTCTTCAGGTTTTCCTTGGGCTCCCTCATTTCCTCACTCCTGTTGGTTTTCACTTGACAGCTACATGTGAGAGTGAATCTGTGTGTTGGCATCCAGAGCCCATGTCTCATACGTCAAGCACTTCCTTCTGAGTCTAGTGGAAACAAGCTGCTGGTTGGTGTTTTTTCAGATCTCTTTTTTTGGTGATGAAGTCTCTGTCCAATGCCCAGAATCTTTCATAGGCATTTATTTTCAAAGGCATCTAGTTTTCTATCTAATGTTTAAATAACTCTCCAGTTCTTGCGGCCACATGCTACCACTGAGGTTACATTGGAGTTGAAAATTCTCCGTTTTGTTTTGTTACTGTATATCTTTGATTTCCATGATTGAGTTTAGTGAATGCTAGGATGCCTTTCCTATCCTTGAGGTCTCTGTTGACTAATATGGTGCTACCCGGGTAAATGAACAGTTCTACTTTTTTGATATCTTTACCTTCTAGTATCACGCTATCCTTGACGTATAGGTTTCAGGGATGTTTGTTTTGGCATAACTGATTTGGGGCTCTTTTTGGCCAGCTGTTTTTGCCAAGGTGTCTGTTTTGTTTGTAGTTTTTTGCTCAACAGCACGATATCATAGCAAAGACTAGGTCTTCTATGCATTTGCCAGCTACCCATACTGTGCCAGTATTTGTGTTGCTAATACACTTCTTCATTATCCGGTCGATGGCAGTGTCAAACAACTGTAGAGATAGAATGCAGCCTTGATTCATTCCCGTGTTCACACTGAATCACTTCAATGTCTTGTTCACTCTTACAGCTCACATTACATTGCTGTATATAGGCTTGATGATGATGATGAAGACTTCAGCTGGAATTCCATAAGATGGAGTATTCCACAATGTATGCTTATGCAGGCTGTCAAATGGGTTTTGAAAATCCATGAAATGGATAATAAGGGAAGCCTGGCATGCTACACATTCTTCTATGATGATCCTTGTGTGAATATCTGATCTTCGCAGGATCTCTTGGGCCTGAATCCAGCCTGTTTTTCCCTGGGCGTTGCATCCCCTGCCTCTCTCATCCTGTGTAGTATCACACTGCAGGTGACTTTCACTGCAACCAAAAATAGTGTGACACCTCTCCAGTTGCTGCAGTTAGTAAGATCACCCTTTTGGGGTATTCTGACGTAGGTGTCCAGGGGTTACAATGGGTTCTCTCTTTCCCAGACTTCATTGAACAGCTCTGCCAGTTTCATTAGGATGGTAGTGTCAAGAGCTTTTAGCATTTCTGCTCTGATTTGATCATCTCTTGCCATTTTGTTTTTTTCAGCTTCTTGACTGCAGCCTGTACTTCTGACATCTCTGTTCGAGCGATGTTGATATCAAGTTGGTCAGGTTCGCGTATTTCATCAAACTCTGGTGCTGAGGTAGGGCTGGGTCTGTTGAGGACTTCTTTCAAATGCTCTGCCCATCTGTTGTTCTGTTCTACCTCAGTTGTAAGCATTTTTCCATCTTTACTTTTTATTGACCCATTTCCTGTTTTGAAGTTTCCACATGGGATTTTAGTCACATGGTAAACAGCTCTGTGATTTCCTATCATAGCAGCAGCTTCAGCTGCTGAGTCTTCAACATATCTCTGTATATCTTTCCTTGCTTTTCACGGCTTTGTCTGCTTTCTTGTACTCTTCCTTTGCATTTTTCAAAATTTCATTGGTCTTAGCATTCAGGAGTTTTCCGTTCAACGCTTGTCTTTTCTCAATAAGACACCACATCTCTTGGCTTATCTAATTCTTGCTCTGTTTACGTTAATATCCAACTATGACTGCTGCAGCTTGAATCTCATTGTCTCTGAGCACTGCCCATTTTTCTTCAGGTCCAGTCAGTGTCACACGTTCTTCTGCCTCTGGCAGTACCTCAGCTCTGTCCTTAGTTCAAGGTGGAATTTCTCACGGTACTCTTTTGTTTTCAGCTCTGTGCTGTTGATTTTCTTGGCTGCTTTCTGTTTAAAGTTGATCTGTCTCCCTTTGAATTTCATTTTTGCAATGCAAAGATTCTAGTCGCTGCTGACATCTGCTTCTCGATAAGCCTTTGCCTCTTGGACAGATGACCTGTCTCTTGAGCTGATGCGGATGTGATCAGTCGGTTTTTTGTTTTGCTATCTGGTGAATTCCATGTTTCTTTATGTATGCCTTTATGAGAGAACAGGGCGCTTGCAAGAGCTAGGTCGGACACCAAATACAATTCAATGAGACTCTTGCCATTTTGGTTAATGATCTCTAACGAGGGCTTCCCCACTGCTCTTTCCCTTTTGTGGTTATCGCATTCTACATTAGCATGAAAATCACCTATCACAAGGAGTAAATCCTGTTTTGGTATTCTATCAATCATACTTTGTAGGCAGGTATAGAACCTACCTTTTTCCTCTGTCAGCACATATCACCATATGATTCACATCATTACAACTCTGGTTTGGAATGTGGCACATATAGTGGTTAGCTGATAGGTGTTTTTTCCACAGAATATGTCATGGTGAGCATTACTCCCTTTGAGTGTGTGTTGTCATTGTGACTTGAATAAAATGAGATCTTTCAAGTGCTTCTTATTCTCGTCTGTCAGTCTGCTGTCACTGATCCCCAGGATTTCAAGTCCATAGTTGTCTATCTGCCTCATGACCTGCAAGATCTTTGCTGTTTGAAACATTGTTCTCACATTCCTGTACCAACTTTGAAATGTTTTCTTGCTCCTGACATTAAATTTTTTGGGGTCTTGGCTTCCAGAGACTGATTTTTACTAGGAACCTTCATGTGACATGTGGAGTTGGCAGTACTCTGCTGAGCAGCCATTTTTACCAGAATGGTAGCCTGGTTCCATTTTTATAATGAAAATGAGAGAGGGTTTTTGTGTTTTATAAGGCTACATAGTTAGCCTTGTGCTCCATCCTCCCCACTTTACCTGGCTTGGGACCAGCAGCCACATCAAAGTGCAGCAGGTGGGGTTAATTGTAGCAATGGTGCATGAAAATTAGGTGTATAATTGCATGCGTTTTTGTGTGTGACTGTAGGGCTTCTCTGCCTGTTGTCAAATTAGGTTGTTACACCGGTAAATGCCATTAGTCAATCAACCTGCTATGTTCCCTCACACATGCAGCAGAAGAAAAATTGCAAATGTGTTGTCCCTGTAACTTCCTAACAGTTACTTAGTGGAGCAACTGTCTACAAGTTGATTAGTAAGAAGTGTTTAATAGAAAAGGAAGAAGGTGCAAAATTTTCAGAGGTGACATGTAAGGAAAAAGTGACTTTATTTTATTATTTTATTTTAAAAATTTGTTCTAAATGGACAAATAACAAAACACCCTGACGATCTCCTGTATTTTATTATTTTCAGGAGACCAAAATCAACTGTGTCCGACTGGCGACAAAAGGTATGTGAGACTCTTCCTCCCGGTTGCACGCTTATGCCGATATGGTGAAAGCTACAATGCTGACACCACTTAATTACTGTCATCACTCAAACGGTGGGCCTCATTTTAAACAGGTGTGGATTGCTCAGGCCAAAAGCCAGTTTCCAAACCCACTCTCCTGTCGGATCAAGTTAGCCTCCTCAAGTAGGAGTCTAGCTGCAGTAGCACGGGCAGTGGCTTGGGCTAGCTGCCTGAGTGCGAAGGTCCATTGGTAGGTACTGAGGTGGTTCGCCCCAGCTGCCCCTGTGATGCTGCGACCACACTGCTATTTTTAGTGCGCTAACTTTATCAGAGCTAGCACATGTAGGTCTACCCAAGCTGGGATGTAATCCTCCCGCCTGTTTGTTAGACGTACCCACAGAGTCACTTTGGGGGGGGGTGTTTCTCTGCCAATATCTGGTGTGGTAAACAGCTTGTGTCACCATTGTACACCCAAAGAGGATGAGCCATTTCCCCCTCCTTTGCTTGTGGCTCTGCTGTTGTGTAATGTCCCCTACCCCTTCCTGTTGCTTTCCTCTGTAGAGCTTCCTCATCAAACCATCATCTTAATTCCTATCTCTGGGTTCCAAACATTCTGTGTGTCTCAAAATCTCCCTCCTCCCTACCCCGTCACTTTATCTAAACCTTGAGTTAGACATCCATTTCAGATCATTCTCTTGGCTTTCTGGTGGTAGAAGGAGGTTCGGATGAGAGAGGGAGATAGGGACAGGTGAAAGAAGTTTGGATAGAACAAGAAACTACACGTATGTTTTGCCCAAAAAGTGACTGGGGTGTCTTCTGAGGTTTAGAAAAGTCTAGATAACTTCATTTTCAAAAGCCATAATTACATTCTTTCATCTCTGTAGTTCCTAGTTCTGGACTGGATGTGGAAGTGCTGAATTACTGTGTTTATGGTCTAGCCAAAAGCAGAGAGTAGCACATACCTGGCAAGGAAGCAAGTATTCCTGTTCTTATAACTTCTCCTGGTTAGGATGGTCTGATTAGGTTTGGATAGTTTGCAGTAGGTTTAAATAAGCATTTTAACATTGAGATAATTTTCCAAATGGATCGTGTTTTATTAACCCTTGGGCTATCAAAAGAACCACCAGCTTATTTATTCTTGAGCATCCATACCTTTTTTGGTCGAGAACTCTCGGATCATCTACATTAGTGATCGATATAATAGGGATGGATAAAGCCTAAGACTCTAAGAGTCATTGTCTCATGGTAATCACTGTCCCCAGCACTGTTCTTGGTTAGCATGAATGGATAAGAGCAGGAATTTATGAAAGTAATGTAAAAGGCAGTTGCTCATTTTCTCACTCGTGTGCGCGCATGCTCATTCACTCTCAGTGGGCATTACTTTTGATTTACAGGAAAGTGTCTTGTATCGTCATATCTTGAGGGTTGGGTTTTTTTGGGGGGAGGGTTGGTGTTTTTCTTTTTTTTCTTTTTTGTTACATGTACTTTTCCATATGTGCTTCTTTCTTTCCTTTTTTTTTTCTTTTTCTTTTGGCATGAAATGCAACTGTACATGTTTGAATGTCTGATCATGAGCTAGGGCACTGGAATAAATATACCTAAGGGGTAACTTTATGCCATACTACTTTGGCATATCCAAAGATACAATGTTGACTAGAACACTCAGGGATTATGTTGCAGCATCATTAGTATTCCCAATGATACAACATTTGTTCATGTCAAGAAATGGCACCTCTGCAAATAGCAGGAGAAAAGGGGGATGCTCAATGTGGGGGAGTTGAGCATACAGCAAAATATTCCCTGTCTGTGATTTTGAATCTCTCTTGTTTTAAGGTACCCAAATGTCATGAGGCTGTTTCTCCTCCTGATAGTAACTTTTTACAAGTCAATAGAACCATGCCACTGTACAACCAGGTGTAAAAAAGGAGTCACGCCCCATGTCTGTAAACATATTGCACATCTCTACTATTAGAGCAATAGCCAGGTGTATTTCCATAAATATAATTACATTGTGATTATGGTCAAAAAATTATGCTCTTAGAATGGCGTCATCTTACCCAACGTATCCCATCTTATCTTGAGCATCATCAGCAAAGCTATCTGCTAATGTGTGACTACAGTGTCTTTATAAGAAGTGCTGTCAGAGGCAGAAAGAGTAAAACTTTCAGATTCCTGCCTGGTCTGGCAGCATTGGCAATTAGAAAGTCCACTTTTGACTTGTGTCATAGAATGACCACACTTTGTTTGGGCCCTGGTGAGAGACAATAAATGTGGGACTCTTTAATGTCCTTTTATAGACTCCCTTTTTAGTTTACGGGCCTGATCTTACTTACATATGTTTTACCGCAGAGTAATCCCATTGGCTTCAGTTCAGTTACTCCTGATTTACACTGGTGAAAGTGAGGTTAGAATCAAGACCATTAACTGTGCTTAAGTCTGGCAGATATTCTCTTAAACTGTCATTAACATGGGCAGTAAACTTGAATGTCAAAATAATTAAGCAATATAACTTGACAGGTAGTGTGTTACTGGGAGATTATAGCATATTATAGCTGTGAGGCACCAGACAAAAAGCTGAGTAACTTTAATTACTTGAGAAGTTCAACAAACCATTCCATTGTCACTGTTCCAGCCGGATGGGAAGGGCATTTGCCTTTAAATTCAATTCTCTCAGAAAATTAGACAACCCCTATTAAATGGCTTTAGTTTAATAAATAAATAAATAAATAAATAGAGGCAGTCAAGATGCTTCACAGCAGACTAGTTTTGCCTAATTCTATTATGGTGTCATTGAAATCTCTTGTTTAGCATAAAGGTGTTCAGATTGGCCCTTCATTTTCATTTCAGCTAAGCTCTGTTCATGGATTCTTTACTCGGAAAGAAGGAATTCTCTAGAGCACTAGCTACTAAAGGGCAAAGGCAGCTTGCAAATGGGGGGGTCCACCCCCTCAACGTCTCACTCACATGCTGTGTTCTGCAGTATGCTCTTCCTGAGTGCTCCTTGTTGGGTGAAATTGACCCCAAACAGAGGTCCAATACAAGGCCTGTGCACCCATAATGTCCCAAATTGCTTAAGTGGGACTTAAGTGGTACAAAGGTTTCATGCAAATGCACTGCATAGGGATCAGTTTCACCAGTTAGTGCAATCAGCAGCAGATTCTCCAAGATACAACCAGTGGAATTCTACTGTGGAAGGCACAATTTCTAGAATGCATCTGCCACTATCCCGTCTCTTACTTACAGCACCGTCCGGGGCAAGATTTGGCCCATCAGAATACGTAGTGGGACGGGGAGGTTAGACTCTCAATGGACATTACTGTCAGCTTTTGCCATGATATTGATGATCCATCAGAAAGCTTGGTGCATCTGTCTCATCTCCTGTAGCCATTTCATAATTCACTAATATGTTTTAGCTCACTAATTAACACCATTACCCTTATATATGCATTTATTTGCTTTCAGTGGCATTGGCCTCAAATCTCTTACCTCAACCATCCATAAACGTCTCTCCACAGACAGGCTACTCCTCTTTTTTAATTGCTGTGCAAAAAAAAAAAGAGAGAGAGAGAGAAAATTATAAAAGTGTTAGTCACCTTGGATGATTATTATTAGCATTTAAAAATAAGCTTGAAATTAAACCCCAATTTACCAGCTCTCTGCCAAACAGTTTTAATTCACAGTTTATTTATTTATTATTTATTGCCAGTTAGTTTCCTTGATGGCATTCATTTTATTTTATTTATTTTAATTTGATCCATTCTTTTGGAATTAACTGATCTCCCTCCTCCCCAGCACCCAGTGCATATTTATATTGGCACTTTCTTTGAGAAAACGGCCACCTCTTCCTGAGAGGAAATGATTACCTCTTTTACTCTCAGAATGCAATAAATACATTTCAACACCTAATTGAAACCAAGGCAAAGGGCTTGTTAATGGCTCCTTATCTCTTGATATTAATTTCTTATTTCTTTTAAATGTGAGTTCTTGCAAATTAAAAAAAATGCAATTTTAATCATTAAGTGGTACATTTTTATTTTTTTTTCCTTTTTTTTTTCTTGTGCATGCTGCCTGGGAACTGTTTTCCTTGTTCTTAGCAGTACTAGGTAGGCAACAGGTGACCACACGAAACCCGCCCAGCCTCTTGAGCACAGGTGATTATCAGTTCAGGACAAGGAAGGTCATTAAAAACTTCAAGGAGTTGAGCAGTTTCTTGATCTGTTGTTTTGTATTTTCCATGCATGGGGAGCCAATTTTGAAGTTACTCTCTCATTTAAAGGAGGGTTTTCTCTTACATGCCACTCTTTTACACAAAGCGTGAAATTCACCACTGTGCAGAGGGCCAGCAGAAGGCCAAAGCAACACTTGTCCTCAAAATAACGCTCAAGTAGCATGTAAGTGGCGCATTGACTTCATGTTGGCCCTCTCCAGCTGGTGAATGTCACCCTGAGTGCACCTGGAGATGTTCTCACGCTGCTGCCTGCAATGCACTCAAAGTGACTGTGGCACTTCCTGGTGCTGGGTTAATGCACTCACTTTTTACTTTGGTGACCTGAGTTCCATTACTAGGTAGTGGGCAAGAAAAAATCAAAGACCAGATCGTACAAGCAGTGTGCCAAACTTCCATTGAAATCAGTGGGAGTTTCAGAGCATAGAGCTTTGCAGAATCAAACCCTCAATCTGGTGGTCTTAAACTAGTTCATGTCACAAAAATCACCACAGACAGCCACAGGTGAAGCTCAGAACTTGTCATGTGTTTGGCAGCCTGATTCTGAATGCATTTTCAGAGCTGCATGTAATAAACTTGTACCCTCATGCCAGTGCTGTGTCCAGTGCTATCAGTGTTTTTTTTTTTTTTTCACCCAGCAACATTTAATTTTATCCAGAAAGTTTAAATGTGTGTGTGTGCGGGGCGGGGGGGGGGAGTTTCCTTCAACTTAACTTAAAAGATGTGGGATGCAATATACTGGGGTGTGACACGAAGTTGTTTGAGTTGAATGAAATCATTGTAGGGATGTGTTCCACTTTCAATGCTGTAAGATCATTCCTAAATTGGCTTCATTCCCTTTCCCAAATTAATATTGATTGCAAGATGGCAGCTCTGAAAAGATTGAACAGGCAGGGTACCAGACTTGGTACCTGAATACCACCCAGGCTCAGAAGCATCAAGTCCAGAGTGAGGCTCTTCAGTCCTTTTCTAGTGTATCATCAAGCAAAAGGTATTTCGTCATTCAACAGAAGGAGCTGCCTGGGAGAGTTGAGTGCATATCAATCGTGAGAGCTCAGAAATGAACCCAAGTCTTAAACGTGACCAATGGAATATTGTGGAAGAAAAATATTTATGTTACAAAAATAATGCCAGTAAAAATGGCAATAGAAAGTCAGGGGAAATAAATCCTTCTACCCACATAATCTTGTTTCATGAGAAAACTGTTCCTCTAATAGGTCTTGTTCCTTCAACTTCATTTCAGAGAGTCCCATTGTTTTCTTAAATATATTCTGGTTTGGTAGACAGATAATGTATTCTTTAAACAAATCTAATCCCAGATCAAGTCTGTTTGTTATTGCATTTTGTCTTCTGATGCACTTGAATGTTATTCTTTTGACAGGTTTATTCCATCCTGTGCTATTTATTTGAAAAAGCTTCATTGCATTTCTTAGGTTAGATACACGAAAATGTTTTTCCTTAACATGTCTCTCCCTTCCAAAAGTTATTTTAAGTATAGGTTCCTGTAGCACCATAATTAAATGTTAATAACAGCAACACTTAAGTCACTCTTTATGAAAAATATTCCCCACTGGGAAAACAAATCAAGCCTTCTAATATTCAGATGTCCATCCGGCTGGTGAGCATTCTTATTTTCCTCAAATTTGGTAGCTTGATATAACTAAATGGATTTAAAATGTGTATTGTGGAGGGTTCCTGACTCAGTGAGATAATGCACCAGCCTTTATTTGTTGGAGAACTCAGTTCAAATGTGGATCAGGCTAGAAATGAAATGAATTAGTGACCTCAGCCCAGTTCTTAGAGGACATCGGTCTGCCCCCTGGCACTCCTACACTGCTTGGTATTATTGTTGGTCTCTAATCAACAAAGGCCCCAAGCTGAAACTGTAGGAACGATGTTGATGGTCAGGACTGAGATGAATTGGTAGAGTTCTGTTAAGGAACCTAACTTCCAGCAACATGACAGAATCCCACTCACAGCCAGTGCTGTGACTCTGTGGCAGACATTTCTTGCACCACTGGCTAAAGGCCACCACTTGGCCCCAAGTATGGGAGTCACTCCACAGAAGAACAGAGAAGGAAGCTGAGAGGCAGTAGGGTATGACTGATTATCATCATGGAAGCTGAAGTCTCCTAAAAGGAAAGTTAGCAGGATGAGTAAGGAAAAAGGTGTGACAGTCAGGCATCAAAGCCAGAGAGGAAGATGCAAGCAGAACCAGGGAAGAGTATGCAGGAGGAAGTGGATGCCAGCTACCTGGAGAAAACCAGATTGCTGGTTTTTCAAAGGTAGGATAGGAAGAAAGGGATTGGAAGAGAGACGAGCAGTCTAATGCCACTCAGCAGCCTCCTGGTTTCGGCAGAGGAGATGTAATGCAAGCCAAAGGCAGAGCAGCTGCAGATGAAGAGCAGCAGGAAGATAATTTGTGAATAGAGGTCATAGCGATGTCCCGTGTTCATAATTTACATATTGTGCCATCAATACATGGGGTTATCAATATTCCTTGGCCTTTTCACTATAGATGAAGATTCTTCAGTGGATGTTCATGAATTACCATTGCTCCTCTACCGTGGATTGCTTAAAAAGGTTATCATGAATATATTATCATTGTCAATGTCCTGAATTAGAGCTTCCAAAGGCATGACAAACCCAAAGCTACTATTAATACATTATGCCTCTGTTTCCTTAAATAGGTTTCTCAACTAGCCCACAGTCAGAAACAGATTATTATTAATGCATTAAGGTTCTCAGTTTCCCTCAGGGACACTGTCTTAAAAAAACCCATAATGGCAGTAGAATGTTTAAGACAGTTACAAGAGAGCCAGATGTGGAGTGGGCCATTGCGTAATACCACAGCACATGTGAATTAAAAGCCTTCAGTTCAGTAGTGTCTGAAAGTGTGACTTGAAAGGCCTGAAATCTTTCACACTATCATGAACCCCATTCTGCCCGAGTAATACAGCCTGTACAGTGTGAGTAGATAGACTCCCTAAAGCAGTTTGTACTGTGGACTATATGTGTCCCCCTCATGTTGCCCATGCTGTAGGGTGGTCTGCATCCTGCCTTCTGATGCTCCTCTTTCAGTGGGTTATGACGAAGAAGAATTCTTATTGGTTCATTGTGTCTCTACTCTCACATGTAACCTGTAAACCCTTTGAATGGTCAGATTGAAAGTTAGCCTTGTTTCACTGTTGTACCAGCCTCTGGCCTTTGCTGAATATTTTGTAGTTTCCTCTGCTAAGCCAGTCAATGGGAGTTTTGACAGTAATTGTGATGAGAGTAAAAGCAAGTGCTTACAAAGGACTAATCTTCATTAAGACATCAATCTTTCAGCTCTGAAACCACAGCTCCTGCACATAGGGTATCAGATCCTGAAAAAGGAAAAAAAGAGAACTGTTGCTGAGTCAAAAGCTCCATTGAGCCTAATATGATGGTTAGTGTACCCCAAAAGCTGTGATTTTAAGGTTAGACTTAAATGTCCAGTGATGCATGCAATGAGTATACTAACAAAAGCCCACATTAGTGCAATATAGCATTTTGCTGCATGCACAAATATGGACTTTTACAGACTTAAGGTATGTATGGACATTTTTATGAGCGCATGCATTGAGTCTCATATATATATCAAATGTGAGTGCTACTCAATAGTGTACATTCCCGGCTCCAGCTATCGTAGCTTTATACTTAAACATACAAAATGTATTTTTTCAGAAAATTCCATGTAGGTCTAGGTTGTGTGTGGTGAAGGCGAGCTGCAGTAACAAATGGGAGAGCCACGGTGAATTTTGTGAATTAGCAAACATGTGCTGGATTCTGATGCCTTACTCATGTTCAGCACCAGCTTAGGGGAAATTGATGGGAATGCTCAAAGCATAAGGCATTGCTGAGTGGCTGATATTCAACTCTGTGCAGTGGGCCAACACAAGGCCTGTGTTAAGTCCCACTTAAGAACTATTGTGAAGGTTTCATTGGACTTAAACAGTGCATAGGATTGTGCTGCCCTCTCTACAGGGGTGAATTCCATGCAGTATGTATAAGGATATCAAAATCTGTCCCTTACAGGTGAACAAAGAAAGAGCAGAAAGCCAAGTATGAGACATCCCAAATAGGCTGGCTGTTAGACAGTCCTAATTAGCGCTTGAGCAGGTGAGTTTTGGTGGATTGTTCCACTTTAAAAAAGCCTCCCTGAAAAGTGTGCTCCATTTTCTCCAATAATACAGAGAGAGGGGATGGGGAAATAAAAAACATATATCTTACCTTTTACTTTGGTTATATACTCCCGGTTTCTGCCATTACCTTGAACACAGCTGCTCTTCTTCAGTTCTCATTTGCAAAATAAGGATATTATTTACTTGCCTCATGGGTTGTCATGAAGGTTAATTAGTTGCTATTTGTATAACATATGATGTGTTTATTTTATTATGATAAGTGTATAATGTTTTCTCATTCATGCTACAAGTACGAGTGGTTCTCACATCCACACCACTCGAAAGCTTGACGCTCTTTATAATATACAAAAAGGAATATAGAAAAGGTTAGTATAAGTTTCTACATAAGAGCCCTGATCTGGGCTGTGCTATTTTGGATCTATGATATCAAAGGCGTAGATAAAAACCCTTGAGAGAGATGGAGCTCAAGCAAGCCTGGACACTTGAAAATTCACCTCCTTGTATTTACCTGCATGCTCACACAAATTAAGACCTCTTTGTAAATTTGGCGTTGTGACTGTGCGGCCTCCTTCTTATAATTTACAAGTAACCTATTAATCCCTCCACATAAGCAAGGAATTATAATGGGGAAATGTTGTCACCATCTTAACTGCAGCATCGCTTGCACTCATCCCCATAGGACCCTTTAATAATATCACTATTACCTGTGATTCGTCTGTCCAAGTGAACACAATAACCTTTTCGATCCTTGGGCCAAAAG